TACTGTCAAAAGGACTCTCAAAAGTCTTCTGGCACCATAATTTGAAAGCATTGATTCTGTGGTGCTCAGCTTTCCTTGTAGTCCACCCCTCACAGCCATACATTGCTACTGTAAAAACCAGTTTTGACTATGTGGACCTTTGTCAGCAAGGTGATATCTCTGCTTTTTAGTTTGCTGTCCAGATTTGCCATAGCTTTCCTTCCAAGGAGCAAGTGTCTTTTAATTTTATGGCTGCAGTCATTGTCTGCAGTGATCTTTGAGCCCAAGAATATAAAATCTGATACTGCTTCCATTTCTTCTTCCTCTGTTTGCCAGGAAGTGATGGGACCAGTTGCCAAGATCTTAGTTTTTTGATGTTAAGCTCCATTTACACTCTCTTCTTTCGTCCTCATCAAGAGGCCCAGCTCTTAATCAGAGACTTAGCAAAGGAGTAGGGAATGGGAGATAATGAAGGGTTTTGAAGTATCAAATGGGAAAAGAGAAGTAGGAAGTGAGGGCCTCTGCTGAATAAGAACAGATGTAGGATGTATAGAAAGAATGCTTGAAAGAGCTGTTATGAGGAAGGTGATAAGGTGTTTGTTGTTTTGCATGTTGTATCCAACTCTGATCCTATTTAGGGTTTTCCTGGCAAAGATACTGGAGTGATTTGTTATTTCCATCTCCAGATCATTTTACAGATGAGGAAACTGAGGCAAACAGTGTTAAGTCACTTGCCCAGGGTCACACAGCTAGTAAATGTCTTGAGGCCAGATTTGAACTCAGAAAGATGGGTCTTGCTGACTTCAGGTCTGGTACTCTATCCACAGAGCTGCCTAGCTGCCCTTGATAATAAGGTACAGGGAAGAATAAAAGGATTTCTGTGCAGTATGCAGGGCCCATGAGATTAGATAGCATAAATTGAAATTAGATGCATAAATTTTCAATGAATACATTGATCCTGGCTGTATTACTTTCCTCAGCAGTGTTCAGCAGCACACGAATGGGAACAAAGAAGTTAGGTGATAGGGGTTATCCAGGATTGGAATTTGAAAAGCTGTGGCTGGCAGTAGAACTAGGGGACAAGGCATTCAGGGACAACTGATAGTGTACAGTTGAACTGGCCAACAGTACAGTCGAGACTGTTAAGTAAGGGAAGGGAGGCCAGAGCAGGGGTGATGCATGGGGAACTAAGAGGGATAGAGAGATTCTAGAGGTCACTGAAAAAAATAAGAATTCAAGACAATTCTCTTTAAAGATAAGTTTTTAAAAAAAATTTTTTGTTTTTGTTTTTGTTAGGCAATGGGGTTGAGTGACTTGCCCAGGGTCACACAGCTAGTAAATGTGAAGTATCTGAGGTCCAATTTGAACTCAGGTCCTCCTGACTCCAGGGCCGGTACTCTATCCACTTCGCCACCCAGTTGCCCCAAGTTTTTAAAATTGTAAAAGTGTATTTGATCAAGTGAAACACTGTTCCTTTCTCCTATGAATATTATGAGTAGAACATTCCTCTTTTGTAACTTTGTCTTGTGAAGCTTAACTTTGTAGTTTTAAATAATGTCTTAGCTCCTTCTTTGCTATTATTTACAGCTTCACCTAATTAACTGGCTCACCATAAGTTGTTTTGTAAAATGCAATAATAAAACATTTGTAATCTGTACTCAACAGGGTTTTCAAATATTGGTTTCATTGAGAACCTTCCACCTTCTCCTACTGTTCCATGCCTTTATGATGTCTCTTCATTAAACTCCTATGGATCATCACTTTGAACTCCAGGATCAAAAATAAACTTTTTAACATTTAGAGCTCTCCAGCCTGGTACCCTCCTACCTCTTCAGTCTTCTTGCACTTTTTTTCCTCTGTGATCCAGTGACACTAGCCTCCTTGGCTCTTGCTCCTAGCACAAGACAATTCCATCTCCAGAGTGGAGATTTCAATGACTCCTTCCTATGGCTGGAATGCTATTCCTCCTTACCTATGTCCCCTGGGTCCCCTGCCTTCAGATATCAGCTAAAATCCCATCTTCTCTGGGAAGCCTTTCTTGATCCCTGTTAATGTTAGTTGCCTTCCCTCTACCATTTCCAATTTTTGTTTTATCTGGGGTTGGTTTTTGTTTTGTTTTGTTTTTGTATGCTCTCTTTCCCATTAGACTCTAAGCTCCTTGAGGGCAGGGACTGTCTTTCACCTTTTTTATATCCCCAGATATTAGCACAAAGCCTGGCAAATAGAAGGCACTTAATTATTGACTGATTTTTCGGGAATGTCTTCCTGTTACCTGTTAGGCCCAGGTTTTGAAGTATCTGCAACAGAGCTAGGGTGTCAGGCAGCATCTACCTGCCTAAGCTTTGAGCTTAGAAAGGGACTCCTACCTAAGTAAGGATGTGCTCCACTTAAAGTACTATAAGGTAGGCTGTATTCTAAATCTTTGTTATTAAAAAAAAGTTTTATATTGAGGGGCTAGTATTCATCTCATTATATAAACAAACTTAATTTGCTAAAATGATTGGGAATTTTTTTGAAACTTTTCCCTCCTTTTTATTCCCCCATTTAAAAAGAAAATATATAATTGATGTAATTTGTCTTTACATCAGTCATTTCCGTTCTTGCTCCTCTAGATTGAATACTCCATTTGTGTCAAAGAAAAACAGTTTTAAACAAAAACATCTAAACAATAACCACATTTGACAATGTATCTAATATTTGCCCTAGTAATCCCCTGTCTTTACCACAAAGGCAAAGATATGTTTCATTACCTGTTCTGTGGGAATGATTTTTTGTGAACTTTTCATTTACTTATTATTATGTAGTTATTATGTATGTTATATTCTCCTTTCTACTTATTTCATTCTGCATCATTTTATACAAAGGTTTCTCTGAATTTTTCATATTCACCATTTCTTTCTGAAGAATAATATTCCATTTCATTTATTTGCCATAGTTTTTTTAGGCATTCCTTAATCAGTGGACACCCATTTTATTCTAGGATTATTTTGGTATATAGAGACCTTTTTAAAAAAAAAAAACTGCATTTATGTTGTAATCATTGTGTATATCATTCTCTTGGTTTTGTTTATTTTGCTCTCCATTAGTCCGTACCAATTTTCTCATGCTTCTCTGAATTCTTAGTATTTATTGTTTCTTATAGCACAATAATATTCCGTTCCATCAATGTACCACATTTTGTTTAGCCGTTTTTCCCAGTCAATAAGTTTGGCCATTTTTCCCAGTCAGTAGGTATTTACTTTATTTACGTTTCTTTGCTACCACAAAAAGTGCTATAGTGAATGTTGGTAGACCTTTCTATCTTTGACTTTGACTTCTTTGGAGTGGGCTACAGTTTACAATTCTTTTGAGAACTGATCATATTGTTTGGCCAGTAATGTATTAGGGAATAGTTCTTGGTGCTTTTTGTTTTGGAGATTTGAATGTTGATGTTTGGTGCAAAGAATTTTTCATTCTACAGTTTCACTTCTAATTTTACCTTCCTTGATCTTATTTATGCAAAAGCTTTTTAAATTTTACAGTTATCTTTTCTCTTGAAATCTTTTCCAATCTTTGTTGGGAATTCTCTACTTTGCTCTAGTTGTGTAAGGTACCTAAACTTTTCGAAATTTTAGGTGTTACCTTTTGTGTTTCTATTGAATATTCGTATTGATCATACTATGTTAACAGTATAAGATGTTGGGCTACACCTAATTTCTGCCAAATTGCTATCTAATTTTTTTCTTCCGGTTATTGTCAGAATGGGAATAGTTCCCTCAATAATTCATGTTTTGGGGTACATTAAATTTTAGGTTACTGTTGCTTTTTTACTGCTTTATAATTTCCTCTGTTATTTTCTTTGAGATTCTAGCTCATTTGTTCATTGTCAAGTTCTCAGAAGTATCCCTTTGGTATATGAATACACTAAAGCTACAAGACAATTTAGATAATCAATTCATTTTTACTATGCTAGCGTGGCCCAACTCTATTCAGTTAATCTCTCAAATTACTGAAGTCTTCCTGAATTTCTTTAAAGTGGGTTTGTTGTTGTTGTTGTTGTTGTATTTTATAGTAAATTTTGCATCTTCCTTGTTTTATGACTGCTTTTTTCCTAGGTTTTATCATTACTATACAGAAGTACTGGTGATTTTTGCAGATGTTTTTCATTCAACTGCCTTAAGTAATTTTATTTTAATTGTTTCATTATATTATATTCTTTAAATTATTTTAAGTAGTTTATTTGCTGATTTTCTAAGTATACCATCATATCATTTGCAAATAAAGAATATTTATGTCTTTTAATATCAGTGAATGCTAATTATTTTCCTGATGTTGAATCATCTGTGAATCCCTGGTATGAATCCATCTTGGTTATAGTGAATTATTTTCTGTTTTCTTTTTATTTCCTGAATTATGGCTATAATCTTGTGAGAATTTTATTTAAAATCCTAGTTGATTTGAATACATTCTTTAAAGTTCTAGTACTAGTAATAAGCACAAAAATCAGAACTAGAAATGATTAGATCTTGGTTTTGGATAATAACTCGATTCAAAAGCATTTATTTATTAAAACACTTGCTATGTGCCAGTCCACTGTGCTAGGCTCTGGGGATGCCAAAGATGCAAAATACTTACAAAGAAAAAAGGAGGAGAGAATCTGGTTCTTACTTGGGAATTGCTTTTTTTTTTCCCCAATCCTGCTTAACAAGTCTAATATAAAGTAACCTTTTAAAAATAAAAATAAGAAAAGTAACCTTTTAAAAATAAAATTTATTTAGCTGTAAAGCTTCTGCAGGTGGACCATAACACGCACACACACACGTGTGCGTGTGTGTGTGTGTGTGTAAATATTACATATGGAAACTTGAGGCACTTTTTCAGTATTCCTTTTATATCATTAGGCAGATATGTGTATGTGAGTTTTGTGGGCTTTTTTTCTTTTATGCTTAAATTTTTTTTTCTTGGTCTTTTGCCAGTATTTTAGGTAATAGAAGAAGTTTAATTTCTTTTTCTGCCAACTTTTCTTTTTTTGTCCTTTCAAGAACACGTCCTAGAGATGATATTCTTAGCAGACGAGAGAGATCAAAAGATGTCAGTCCTATTAGCAGATGGTCTCCAAGTAGAAGAAGATCAAGTAGGTCTCCTATCCGTAGGAGATCTCGTTCACCAATCAGGCGAAGCAGAACTCCAAGAAGGAGAAGCAGGTCTCCAAGAAGAAGGTAAAAATTCAGTTCAAAATAATTTCTTTCTCTGAAAATGGTAGCATACTAACTATATGTTATAGGAATGGATAAATTTTTACTTAATATAATCTTTGTAGAATATTTCCTATTGAAAGATTGTAACAGTTACTATCATTCTTTTCATGAGTATTCTTTGTTTTGTGTTTTAATTTAAAAAATTCTGTTAGAGTTCCTAGGTATGATAGCACAAATCTGTAATCCCAGGTACTAGGTAGACTGAGGATGATGGATCCCTTGACCTTGGGAGTACTGAGTTGCAGTAGCTATGCAGATTGGGTGTGCACTATTTGGTATTAATATAGGCAGCTAAGTTGCCCTGTGGATAGAATGCTACATCTGGAGTCAGGAAAACCTCAGTCCAAATTTGGCTTCATACACTTACTTAGTTGTGTGACCCTGGGCAAGTCACTTAACCTCCTCCTGCCTCAGTTTTTTTCTTTTGCAGAATAGGAATAATAATAGCACCTACCTCCCAGGATTGTTGTGAGAATAAAACAAGGTGTTTGTAAAGTACTTTATAAATGTTGACTATTAATATGGTGAGCTCCCAGGAGCAGGGAGCCACCAGGTTGTCTAAGGAGGGTCAAAGCAGAGCAGGTCAAAGCTCCTGTACCCATCATTAATGGAATCAGACTTACAAATAACTCCTGAACTTTTGCGGGTAAGATAGGGAGACCCAATCTTGAAAAAAATAAAATTAATCCATCACTCAGTTGTGCAGTAAAGCCTGATTGATTAAAAACTTTAAACAAGCATTTTTCCCCCTTCACTATATTTTAGGGGTTTATTCAGAAATGAAAACTTGTAAGATATGTTATTGAGTTAGTCATTCTTCATAGTCACTCTGCCTTGTGGCAGTGTGTCTGTCTCACTGTCATCAAATCATTTTACCACTTTAAGTCTTAGTTTCCTCATCTCTCAGAGGGGGCTGATAGCCTTGCTTGCAGTGCTGAGGTTCAAATGAGATGATATATATAAAGAACCTTATGAACTTTTAAAGTGGTAGTTAAGGTTTCGTTCTTAAAATATCACCAGCATTTACAATACTGTAGTAATGATGTTACTACAAGATCTGCAAGATCTTCAGTCATTAAAGAGTCAATGATGAATTAACCAGTATTTTTTAAGAAGCTATACTGTTATACAATTTAGATATAATAGAAGAATGTTGGGCACAAAGAGTTTACTGTCAAGTTGAGACACACTTGAAACAATTAGAGAACAGAATCATAAAGTACCACATTGTACTTATTTTCAAATGAATAAGTTGCCTATATTTTCTTTAATTATTTTTTCCTCAACAGAGATAGAGGTAGGCGGAGTAGATCTCGACTTCGACGGAGGTCTCGATCGAGGGGTGGTCGTAGGCGCAGAAGCAGAAGCAAAGTAAAGGAAGATAAATTTAAAGGAAGCCTTTCTGAAGGAATGAAAGTTGAACAGGAGTCATCATCTGATGATAAGTAAGGATGGAACTCTCCTGAAATTATCCTTTTTTATCAGAGTTTAAAGGAAATATTACTTGGTACACCAATTTCTTAGCAATCATTTTTGCTAACTGAACATGTCATGACCATGTTCTATGGGGTTTTTTTTTTGTGTGTGTGGATGGGTTTTTGTCTTTTTTTTTTTTTTTTTTGGCTCAACTTCAGAATTAGTCTTTTAAACATTTAATAAGCATAGCCTTTTTTATTTCCCTCTGTTAATGTCAGTGTGATGGTGGGGACAAGGGGTTTGCCTTTAATTTTTTTTTTCCTAATTAACAAAAGATTTCTCTTCACCTACCACCCCCCATTGTGAAGAAAAACAAAACCCTTGTAACATACATTGTGAAGCAAAATTCCTGTATTGATCATGTCCCAAAAATACACATCTCATTCTGCAACCTGAGTCCTCTGTCAGGTGGTGGGTAGCATTCTTCATCATTAGTCCTCTATGGTCTGGAGGATGGTCATTGCATCGATTAGAGTTCTTAAGTCTTTCCATGTTTGTCTTTTTAAAACATTGTTATTGTATAAGTTGTTCTCCTGGTTCTTCTCATTTAACTTTGTATCAGTTTATACAAATCTTCCCTAGTTTATGTGAAAAAAAATCTGATCATTTTTTGTGATACATTTTTTGTATTCTGTTACATTCATATGCCATAATTTGTTCAGCTGGTTCCAATTGATGGTCACCCACTTAGTTTTTATTCTTTGCTGCTGTTGCAAATATATGCATGTATACGTGTGTTCTTAGTGGTATCACAAAGGTATGCACAATTTAGTAACTTTGGGGGGCATAGTTCCAAATTGCTTTCTAGAATGACTGGATCAGTTCACTCTCCAACAGCAGTGCATTAATTTGCCTATTTCCCCCCCCCCCCATTTGTCAGTGTGGTTGGTGTAAGGTGAAACCTCTTTGCTTTAATTTGCATTTCCCTAATTATTAGTACTATAGGGCATTTTTTTCTATAGAGTTATTCTGATATAATTGCTAGAGAGAAGGCCTCAGAGTCAAGACGACCTGTAAATTGTGACTGTGGGGCACGTCCATTAACTTTAAGTGTTTAAAGCAAGAAACTAGCCCATAAATTGAGGGTAAACAGGTTAATATGTTCCTTCTGTTCTTTTAAACATTATTAGGGACACTTTTCTTTAATAGTCTATCTGCTGTGATTACTACTTATGAAAACAATTCATTTAAAATATCCTGAGCTTTGACATGCTGGATCAGGGGGCACATATTCTGTCCCTTATATGAGTAGCAAAGTAATGATGTGCTATCTAGATAGTTCCTAAAGTTCTTACTATATCAAGGTTCTAAACCTCTATTTTTGGACACTTTTCTTCTGATTTTCATCTTCTATTTAATCTATAGGGAAAGATTTTAATGATCTTGCAGCAAAGGTGGAAAACACATGGGATCTTTTTTGTTTTTTGTTTTTCTGAATAAAATGTGTGTGATCAGATGAACATGTAGAAGAACCATTTTCTTTAATACAGTTTGCTGAATCCTAACTAGGAAACTGGCTAACAGTAAAACCTATTATTACCAAGTAAAGTAAATACTGACTGATAGTTGTGTTAAAAATCATTTAAACCAACATGTTTGTATATTTGTCTCGAAACTTTTCAAATGAGCAAAATAACATAAGCTGTAATTAAAATGTTATACCTAAGAATTGTTTCTTATAATGTTTATGGGATTATAGAAGGGATTCAAAGATGGAAATCTGAAAGTTCCTTTTCATTTCTCCCTTAAGTCTAAAGCAAATTTAAAAAGACATCTGCCCCTTTTCCTTTGTGCCTCATCCAGGGTGCTGTAGCCAAACTAAAAGGCCACAGAAGCCCTCTAGCCACAAAAGTCCTACAAAGTAGAGATCTCTAAGAATAGGAACTTTTTTCAACTCTCTTAGTTTTGTAATTACCTCATTTTGTTGATAAGAAAATGGCAAACTATTTGTCATGAGCTTCCTCTTCTACTCTACATCTCATCCCTATGTCATCTCCCAGTCATTCAACCTTTGCTTCCTTTGAAGAGGAGTTGGCCTTCTATTTCCATAATCTCTCTTGGGATTTTCCACTCTTTCTACTCATGTCTTCTACCCTAGTCTAGGCCCTGATTGCCTCTCTGTCTTGGGCTATTGAAATAATTTCCTGAGTGGCCTGCAGTCTCTCTCCATTACATTCTGTCATTGGCAAATCTTAAGACATAGGTCTGACCTTGTCATTTCTCTGCTAAGAAATACTCTGTGGCTTCCTCTTGCCTATGGGACAAAATATAAACTCTTTATCATTGGCACTTAAAGCCTTCCACAATCTGTCTCCAGCTGATCTTTCCAGACTTATTTTTTACTCTATATCAAAGCTAGACTGGCACACTTGCATATAATTTCCTTTCCCATCTGTGCAAAGCCTGGGCTCTTGCCCTGGTTCTTTCCCATGTACTCCCTTCTAAATCTCCATTTCTTAGAATATTTGGTTTCTTTCAAAGCTCAGCTAGGATGCCACCTTGGGAAAATTTCTCCAAATTATGGTAAATATACTTATTTGTATCTGTGTTATAGATCTCTTCTTTCTATATTTGCCCCCCCCCCCAAAATATAATGCTTTGTTAATTTTTCCAAGATTTGTGAAGGCCACGCTTTAAAAATAATTAATAAGACACAAAATTATAAAATTTATTCTTTCAGCCTAGAAGACTTTGATGTTGAAGAAGAAGATGAAGAAGCCCTAATAGAGCAGAGAAGAATCCAAAGGCAGGCAATTGTTCAGGTATGTGCTTATGAATAAAACGGTATGTATGAAGAAGCCCAGGTAATTTCAAAAATTCAAGTAAATAAACATTCTTAAAGCACCTAGTATCTTTTAAATATAAGCTTCTACGTATTTAAAATTATCACTACCCTAAGAAACTGAAAATATTTATTTTGACAAAGCACTAATGTAGTAGCAATGTACAAACAGGGCTTTGAGTGGAGAAACCGACATTTTAAATTATGTTAGAGTTGTAATGTTTTCATTAGGTCTTTCTTTGAAGTTGGGATTTTTTTCCTTCAGATTTATACAATTCTAATCTGAGCCATCTACTCCACAATGAGTTACTTAAATTGATTCTCCCTAGTAAATCGCATAAGCTGCAGGTATTTCAGTTTTATTTTAAATTGCCTCCAAAAAGTCTCACAGGAATAAAAGAATATGCTAATTACTCAAAACTGATAATTTAACAAACAAAATGCCAACCTACTACAATGAGAAAGTTATGAAAGGTTTGCAGTTTAGTTACATTAAAAAATATTTTAGGGGGCATCTAGGTGGCACAGTGGATATAGAGAGCTCTGGCCTTGGAGTGTTGATGAACCTGAGTTCAAACCCAACCTCAGAACTTGACACTTACTAGCTGTGTGATCCTGGGCAAGTCACTTAACCCCAATTGCCTCACCCAAAAAAATTTTTTTTAGAAAAATTTAAGTAGTCTTATAACCTTTGCTGTCTTAAAGTAGAATGTCTCAAAAACTCTTAGAACTTTGGTCCAAATATAGGCCACACTTATTCTCTAGCATGTACCTTTGTACATGTACGTGAGTACAGCCAAAGGTAGAAAAGAAAATAACAATGAAATTGGTAGGTGTTTTCATGATAACAATCAATAAAACTTATTTATTTGAATTAAAAAAGAAAACTGAGCAAGTTTTAAAAGCCACATTTAAATACGGGTATTTGTATGCAATTGTTCTTCCTTTCTGAGAGAGCCAGTCTTTTGTAATATAAGCTATAATCAGAGCAGTAAAGCATTATAATTCCTTATATTACTGAGAAAATTGTGTGTCTCTGTATTTCACAATTATGCTGTGACCAGCAAGGGTTTGATGCCTTCATTAGTCACACTTTGCCAAGTACTATATTGAAATTAATTCCTAATCATAGGTGCTATGAAATGGTAATCCCCAAAAGAATGTTATGCCTTCTAGAGAATCCCTATTGATGCTGGCTTCTGGAGCGTCCTTTGTAAAATGTGGAAATGCCTTATCTTAAGGCCTGCTCGTGTGTAGTGTATAGCAGACGTGACAGAGGGCGTGTGGATGAAGGGTGAGCTTTAAAAAAGACTTAGACTAAAGTAAAAAAATGGAATTGAAAGAGGAAAGATCAGAGCAGTAATGACAATTCAACTACCACAGGGTCCAGCCACACCTGACCCAGGGTAGGATCGGGCTGTTGATTTAAAGTTGGGGTGGGGGGGTAGTGCTGGGAATTTGTGGTAGAAGAATTAGAGGGACACATTGGCAAAGGAAGAAAGAGTGATAGCACAGTGCATACAACCAGGAGTCTGGTATGTGTCTGTATAGGGCAGGAACAATGGGAGAAACTTCATTTACTAGTATAATACCTGTTACAGTGTTTGTGATAACTGGTATCTTCTTTTGTCTTTAGCCATAGTCATTAGCTGTAGTCATAGCTCTACAAATGATAGCAGAGACTTTTCTAACTTCATGTAAGACTTACTGGCTTAACTAATTTTCTAGGTTTGCAATTGTAAGAAATAAAGCTTAATATGTTCAATATCAAGCATACATTTTACTGAAAGTAACACATTGAATTCCTATTGCAGAAGTATAAATACCTTGCTGAGGATAGCAATATGTCTATGCCATCTGAGCCAAGCAGCCCTCAGAGTAGCACTCGAACACGTTCACCCTCCCCTGATGACATTTTAGAACGAGTTGCTGCTGATGTTAAAGAATATGAAAGGGAAAATGTTGATACATTTGAGGCTTCAGTAAAAGCCAAACACAATCTTATGACAGTTGAACAAAATAATGGTAAGTAAATAAAGTGGTATTTTTTAATCATGTAATTGAATTATTAATACCATTTAGTCATGAGAAAAGATTAATTTTAGAGCTTATGGGTGTGCAAAAAAAAGTTTTGACATTTCTTGCTCAATACTGCATTACTGTGAACATTTTTTAAAAATAATGTTATTGATAGCTTTTTGTTTTATTTATATTCACCTTTATTTCACCCTCTACTATTTAATGTGAGCCTGCCCTCATAACAGATTTAAAAAGAGAAAAAGAAATTAATCAGAACTCACCAACACATCAGCCAAATCTGACAGTATGTGTTCCACACAAATAGGTCCCTCACCTCTGCAAAGAGAGTGAGGTGCATTTTCTCATTCCTTCTTTGGGTCCAAACTTGATAATTATAACCACACAGTATTCAATTTCATTTGTTTTTTCCATTTACGTTGTTGTTATATATAATTTTCCTGGTTCTACTTCATGTTGTATCATTCATATTAAGCACAGTAATAATCATGTGCCACATTTTTTAATTCCTTTCCCCAGTCATTGGATGTCTCCTTTGTTTCCATATCTTTGCTCCCACAAAAAGCACTACTATGGATATTTTGGTATATATGGGACTTTCTTTTTGTCTTTGACCTCTTTAGGGCATATATCTAGCAGTGGAATCTCTGGGTCAAAGGGTATGAACATTTTAGTCACTTCTTATTCAATGTAATTTTAAGAAAAGAAACTTGTTCTATTAAAAATATTGCTTATTTAGTATCCAGCATATTAACTATTTTAAACAAGAAAATGATGAAAGTAAAGAACTTTCAAGGGAAATTGGTATGGGAAACCTGGATTATGACCATTATTCATTAGGGTTTTATGGGGTACATCTATAAAACACTTAAATAAAGATTTTGTATTCTCTTAAGTATTTAAAAAGATTTCAGAAATGCTGTATAGTGGAAGTCCTTTATTAGAATACATTTTGTATTGCCTTTAGGACAATTACTATTGAATTATGTGTTTTCCTTTTGTTATCTGTTCATGATAGTCCAAATGATTGTTATGAATTTCCATTAAGGTTCAACTCAAAAGAAGTTATTGGCTCCTGACATGTTCACCGAATCAGATGATATGTTTGCTGCATATTTTGATGTAGGTAATTTTAGAATTAGTTTGTTTTCCAGCTTATATTGATAGTACTGTTGCATATTGATTGATATGACTGCAAGAAAAAGTTGTGATAGGTTGATCACCAAATGAAAATTAATAGTGTAATAATGATAATATTAAAAAGCACAAGTCTAGGTTCTGAAAATGTAGTAGAGGTTTGTAAAGCAGCATGGTCAACATTTGGCTTGGACCTTTATTTTAAAAAGTGTTCAGTTTTTGCCTCTAGATTGTCATGTCCTTTATCCAAGTATTAGAGGCTAAATACGAAAATGTTTCACTATCTTATAAAACCAGGAACTGTAATTAAGAGTACCTTACAAAAGTATCTGGTGACAAGTAAAGATAAATATGAAGAATACCAAGATTTTGGAATCAAAATAGAAGGGCATAAGATGTCCCAATGCTGTTCAGGGACCCCAAACAGTAAATAGCTGAAATAATTAATCACTTAAAATTTTTTTTTGAAAGTAGTACATACATATTATAAAAATAGTTTGAATAAAAGTTAAATAATACAGGTAACAAATGCTCCTCATCTATTATTAATTTAGATGGCTATTGCTGGGTGACCATGGATGAAGAGTAAAAACTTGGTCATCTTCATTTTTCTTTTTCGCTAAGGCATATATAATCAGTGTGGCTCATAACACATGTGAAAAGGGAATTGTTGGAACAAAGGGTAATATATAATGCTACAATTTACAAAGTACTTTCCATACATTAATCTCATTTCAATCTCACAGTTTCTCTTTAAGGGAGGGAGTATAAGCATTAGCTCTGTTTAAAGATGAGGCAACTGAGGTACTTTGAAGTAAAATGACATACTTTACCATGATCACAAGTGGCATGGCTAGGATTTGAACCCTTGTCTTGAGACACCAAGATACAGTGTACTTTCCACTCTACCACATTAGTTCCCAAGAAGTACTTGACTCTGGAGTAAGAAATTTGAAATCAAGAGAAAATATCTTTCATATCAAATCTCTATTTACATTAACCAGTACTATTTTATCCAGTATGATGCCTGGCGCATAGTAGGTGTTTAATAAATATTGATTGATTGGTTTTTTTCCCCCATTCCTTTATTTGAAGAGTCTTAATAAATAAAACAGTGTAGAGAAGCTAATTAGATAACTGAGGTCGCTTTTAGTTTTAATATACTTGCCATGTATGTCTATCAAGAAGTCTGTCAATGACACAGTATGATTATCTGTCTTTACTGTCATCATTTCTTAATTGCTTTTGAAGATATTTAAATTGTCCCTTAGTTTAATTGTAGTGTTTTGCTAGGGGAGATTTTTCTTGTAAATATCTGCAGTATTAATCCATGGTCCATACCTACCACAAATGCCATGTTAATTTTAGCATTACTTTGAAAACTGTCACAGAGTAAAAAATCGAAGTCCATCTTATTCTGGGCTTTCTTAACGAAAATGCTAAAATGGTGTTATTTGGGAAGACTTCAATGACTCCTTTTTTTTTACTTATTCAGAAATGAGTTAGAGAGCTCATTGTCACCTATTCTTTCAGAGTGCTCGTCTTCGGGCTGCTGGCATTGGAAAAGATTTCAAAGAGAATCCCAATCTCAGGGATAACTGGACTGATGCAGAAGGCTATTATCGTAAGTGTATATTTCTTACTTTAGAGTTGTATGTATGGTTTTTGCCACTTTTAAAAGCATGTGTGTTGTATGCTAAAAACATTTTTTAAAGTCTCTGAAAATAATAACAGTGCTATTACTTAAAATGTGTGGTATATCCAGCAGCTACCTGAATCCAAACTATTCAGTTAAGCTGCTCAGAGGTGTGTCACAAATTGAAGTGAATTTAAACAGTTAATATGAAATTTAAAATCTATCCAAAGATATTTTCAGCCATAAGATCTACTTCCAGATGGAAAGGGTACATCCACATGCTTGTCTTGATCTGAAACTAAGAAATGCAACGTGCACGGAACTTGGATGCCAGTCATGCAGTATTTGCCATCAAGACTACCCTTGTAACTATTTCATTGAGCACATTTCTTCATTACTCAGTATTCAGAGTCATCAACAATGGCTCGAACATTTCATGGAATGGGCTGAAGTGGGCATGCAGCATCTAACTTCATTTATGAGTGTGTGACCAGTGGCAGCACAGTTTTGGTTCTTATTATTCCTCACAAAACCTAGTGTATAGCAGAGATGTGACACAATTTTTAAGTAACAGCATTGTGGTTTTTTATGTTATATTTTATTTGTTTATGAGTACTCTGTTATGATCAATTCAGTCCTAACAATTTGTCTTTTAGGTGTTAATATAGGTGAAGTCCTTGATAAACGTTATAATGTATATGGCTACACTGGCCAAGGTGTCTTCAGTAATGTAGTGAGAGCCAGAGATATGGCAAGAGCAAACCAGGAAGTGGCAGTGAAAATCATCAGGAACAATGAGCTTATGTAAGTTATTTTATAAGTTTACATTATGACGTGACAAAAACATTCAAGATTAAAACTGTTTATCCTCCATTTAGTCAGTTTTGGCTTTTGATTCAAATTTCACTAAATGTTTAGGATTTTGCTACACAGCAAATGAAACCCACTTTCCTTTTCTGGCTCAAGGAATTGGTTCATTTTACTTATTAAGAAACTTCTGTATACGTGGCACTTTGGGGTATGTAAGATATATTAGACATAATTTGTGATTTCAAAGCTTAGTCTGGTAAGCTGGAGCAGAAAAAAGATACAAATAATGATAATATAATGTAAGAGAATATAGATGTTACTGAATTCTAAGGTTGGACCTGATGCTTTAATCATATCCCAAATGAAGAAACACCCATCTTGATTACATAATGACTACTGGTAGGTTTTGTCTATATTTTGCCTGTTTTGCTATTCTAAGAATCAGTAGTGTTGAGAAAAGGCATTGATTGAAACTAAGATTTTATCTGTTAGTCATGAAAGTTTAATATGGTCAAGTTTGGAGGATTCATTATATTTGTTTTTGTATATATATTGTATATTTTATATGTAACCTTTCTACCAATACTGCAATTGATTAAATTAGCTATTCTCTTTTAATATATTACCTGCAAATATCAAGCAACAGATAGTACAAACAACATTTCAAAGAAAATAAACAGTGAAAAGAAAGAAAACTGATAGCAGGAAAGACATGAGGTAAAGGAAACATAGGTAATTTGATAAAAAATTGTAATTGAGATAGAAAGTAGGCAAAACTAATTTCTTACCCTAATATTTAGAGTGGACATTTCAGGTGAGGACAAAATATTGTTGTTACTATGTATAATAATATGATCTGTATGAAAATAGCGAAGCGTTAGGTGAATTATGAGTTCTCGTTGACATTAAGAAGCTGATATTCAGTGACAGATCAGAGCTGAGTAGGACAGTTATGAGTGGTCATAATTGTTATGGAAGAAGTCTGATTTCAAAAAGATGGCAGAAATACATTTTTCTCTTCTAATAAGTTTTTTGTGCCTTTTCATCTTTTAATCCAACTTCTAAAAAAATTACAAAGTGAATAATGTATTGTTTTTCCTGCCAAGTCTGATACCCTTAGTAATTTCTTCAAATACATAAAAATAACATCTGTAAGACATAACACAACCAAAACAAGACAGTTTTTTTGTTCACTAAATATGTTCCATTAAACATGTTATTTTATATTTTGTTTTTAGGCAAAAAACAGGTTTAAAAGAACTGGAATTTTTGAAAAAGCTTAATGATGCTGATCCAGATGACAAATTTCATTGTTTAAGGCTCTTCCGACACTTTTACCACAAGCAACATCTCTGCCTTGTATTTGAGCCTCTAAGGTAAAATGTCAAAATGTGTAAATTAAATAGAAATTTATGTAGCATCTTTTATTGGGCAGGACTTTTTGTTTTGTTTTTTAGTATACTGAATAGAGTAGTGAAATTTCCTTTCTTAATCTAAGCAGTTACATTTATGGTCAGCTCTTAATTTTTCTTAATTAAGAGCCCACAGTCTGGTTAGGTGATCCTTTGAAACCTAAATATTTAGCTAACTTCTAGAAAATATTTAAACCAGAAAGAACAAGAGCTAGGAATAGGATAGGAAAATGTTTTCTTCTGAATCAGGTCTTTAAAATGTGATTTTGTTCTGGAATTCATACACTTTTTCGAAGGATCTGTGATTTAGATAGTTAGAGGTACTTCCAGTTTCTCTGCTTGTTAGTAGATGATATTTACATCAGATGTCCCAAAAGCTTTAGTTTAAAACTTTACTAAGACTTTTAGGATACCCTAAATACCCTCCCTATCTGTCATGTTCAGGAGAGGTGAAATTCAAAACAAATGTCACTTGCCCCTAGTCACACAACAGAGCCAGGGTAATTTACTTCCTGGTATAGTGATATCTCCATTCCACTGTCACCTTTTTTCAAAAAATCATTTCAATAAAATGGGTATTAGTTCCTGTGATTGCACTCATTTAAGTGGCCTCAGTGCTCTGTATAGCATGTGACAGTATAACAACCTCTTGACTCTATCACCATTGCCTACTTGCTCACTCCTCAAACCCTAGGTTTCTGCTTTGCACTGTCTCCCTATCTCTGGGATAAAGCCCTTTGTTAATAAGCCTTAGAGCTGCAGAAAAGGGTCCAGTCTTCACCTTTCATACTGCCCACCTTTCTCCTGAAGCTGCTAAGTCCCTTGGCTTACTTTCATTTTATCCCTCAATGGTTTGCCTACTTTTCCCACCTTGTCATTGTACTGGTTTGTTATCCTCTTGCCCTCCCCAAAGTGGTTCTTTACCCAGGCCTTTGTTCTCTAAACCTTTCCTTGATAATCTCTTCTGTTAAAATTTTAGTTTTCACTCTATACATATGCCTACCGTATGTGTTTAAGTAGAGCCCTTCTCTTTCTGCTTTAGCTTCAGTCTATATTACCCACTAATTTTTGCCTATTTCCACCTAGATGTCAGACCAAATCCAGGTCATCTTCTAAAGCTGCTCCTCCTCCCAGAGTCACTCCTACTTTTGTCAACACTACCATTTTCTCAGTTGCTTGGCCTTGGAATTCTCCCCTCATCCTTCCCTCTCCTGTGTTGTCAGTTACCAAGTATTTGCCAGTCCTGCACAATTTTCTCACTTGACTCTTCTCTGCTTAGCCCTGCCTTGTGGAGGGTTGGTAACACTGCCTGCTTGTGCCTGTCATATAAGCAGCAGTCCCCCTCTCCCTCTCCAGGTCACAGGCTGCCAATACCATCTGTCTTTTGCCCAGATCTGACCATGTCACTCCTCTGATGAAAATCTTTCAGCATCTATTACTTGTAAAATACAAACACTTTCCTCAGTCAGACTTGAGTCCACTTTTCCAGCCTTATTTCTGTGTTCTGGCCAAAATATTCATCCATCTTAACCTGCCCTCTTAGGCCTTAGTGTATTTATGTAGGCAGTTCCCTGTACCTGCAATGATTAAAAAAAAACCACAACTTTTGTGTGACCCTGGACAAGTCACTTAACCCTGATTGCCTCACCAAAAAGAAAAGAAAAGGGGGGGAAAAAAAAACCTTGTGATGTTGGGTAGTACTTTTGACTATGAAAGATTTAGTAAACATATATGAGAGGAAGACAATGAATACTTTTCAGAATGGACAAAAGCTAAATTTTTGTAAACAAATGGTTCAGTTATCCCCAAAAGTCAAGCTTTTAAAAATTGGGCTAATCACTCAATTCTTCTCTAATATAGAATGAAATTCATTGCATAGAAGCACTTTCTTTTTAATCCAGTATTGCCATTGTAATTTTGAAAAGTGCTTACTTTTTTACATCACACATTTTATAACCTGCTTTTTCTCCCCTTTTGTTGTAAAAAGTATGAATTTACGAGAGGTCTTGAAAAAGTATGGAAAGGATGTTGGTCTCCATATTAAGGCTGTAAGATCCTATAGTCAGCAGTTGTTCTTGGCATTGAAACTTCTTAAAAGGTGCAACATCCTACATGCTGATATCAAGCCAGACAATATCTTGGTAAGTGAAATAACTTATATTTCAGTAAAAGTGGATTTACTGTTTTCATAATAAAACTTACTCTTGGACATATAATTATTGTATTGGGCAAAATATAGACTATGCCTCTAAAATAATCCCTTTTTGAAAGAAAAAAGTATAGATAAATACTGAAAAGTAATACTTATTATAGGCTACATTTGGGTTGTATGCAAATCATATTTTCTGATCAATGCAAATATTCTCAAAAAGTACAATATATAAAAGAATAAAAGTAAAATCTTGCTTGGTAAGAATGGATTTTCCAGAGAAGTGGAAATTCAGAATTAACTTCTAAATTATAATGAACAGATAATTTATCCTATTTGAATAATGAGATAAAAGAACATGATGTTGTTCCATGTTTATGAATTTAAAGTAGCACTTATTATGCCTCATCTTGGCTTGGGGGATGATCATAAGTTCAGAAAATCTATGCTTGTGTCATAATACATCCACCTGGCAGGTTTTACTGGGAAAGCTTCATTACAGATCCAGAGGCTATCATCATAGCTAAATGCAAAGAGGCTCATCTCTAAAAGCAGCCATGATGGCTTTCTGCAGATGTGTGAAGAGGGGTTATGAGTGGAAGGGAGTAGTCATAATGATGTAATGAAGTATCTGCAATTAGCCACAGACCTCAAGCATATGTAACAATAGCTACCATTTAAATAGTGCCTGCTATGTGCCTATTACTCACTGTGCTGAGTCCTTTAGAAAATTCTCATGATTCTCACAACAACCCTGGGAGGTGGGTTATTCTCCCCATTTTACAGTTCAGAAAACTGAAGCAAATAGCAGATAGGTGATTTGCTCAGTGTCACAGCTCGTAAGTTTCTGAAGATGGGTTTGAACTCATATCTTCTGGACTCCAGGCTCAGTATTATATCCACTGCACCACCTAACTACCTATACTTAGGCTACATTATAGCTGTTGTCTACGTCTGGCTGCCCAAATTACATTTTGTGGGGGGTTTTTTGTTTGTTTTTTGTTAAGGTAATAGATAATCATCAACTGACATGACTCATAGATAGAGCAAATAACATCAAAATCCTTATCCATGAGCTTTGTCCCACACTGTGGTTGCTCTGTGTTACTTAATTTAATTCAAAATAACCTGATGGGCAAGGGGAACCTAGAAACCATTTTTTGTTAGGTTCGCAAGTTAGTGTTTCCCAGGAATATTGCTTAGCTGCTCTACTGTTGCTGGTAAACTGTTTTTTTTTTTTTATTAAACATTGCATTTGAAAGGGATCAGTTCCTTTGGACCTGTGAGCAAGTCATTTCAGTTATCTAGGCTTTAATTAACCTCATCTGTAAAATGAGGGGTTTGGACTACATGACCTCTTGCAACTCTGTTAAATCTATTCGCCTGTAAAGATTTGTCTTGCTGATTTTCTTTTTCATTAATTTCAGTATTAGTATTGATTTAGTAGCCTTACATTACTATTTGCCCTACAGATTTATTTCTCAAAGAATGCTGTTCCTCAAGGGCCTGGGCTAGTAGCTTCCTCATTTCTAGTGCTAATTTCAAATTCCCACAATTTGAAGAGGTCTTCCCTACTGTGTTTAAAAGTTTGCCATTGTGTTCTCAGTACAAATTCCATGTCCTACAACTTTGTCTTTAAATATGTACCTTACTATACCATTCTATTTTCGTGATCCTTAAAGAAAGAAGTATTTTAAAGCATATTGTTTTGTGACCAGTTTTAATTGTCATAAAATAAGCTGGTAGGCACCTTAATATTTATTTAGAATTGAAATCAAAAGACATGCTTACATCCTACTTAGGTCAAAGTAATAAAGTAAACTCATCTATAGTTAACTATAATTCTATACAAATATTATTAACTATCATTTTAGTAGAGGAAAAACTTTCTTAAATATTAGATACTTGGGAAAATTTATAGTTGACTTAAGATTTTCTTTTTCCTACAAAATCTTCTTACTGTTATGAATCTTAACAATGAAAAGTAAAATAAAGTGCTATAGTACTAGGCATTTTTTAGATTAGAGATTTGCTTAGTCAACTTCAGTTCTGCTTTGCAGAATGTTCTTTGTGATCATCTGTTTTGGTGGACAAGCATGAGTTCTACCTTTCAAGCTTTCATATGAAATAATACCAAATATGGATTTCATTTGGGGTGGTTCCCTTTGTTTATTTTCCCTTCATTACTCCCAAGAAAGAAATCAGGCCTTAGAGAATGAGGATTATAATAAGGCAGTGAGTTCAGCAAAAGGTTTGTCATTTTGGGGAATGACTAATATATACAGAAAGGGAAGCTATGGCATATATCTCGACTTTAATGGTATCAAATGCCATGTGGTACTATATAATGTATACATCATATGCATTTATTTCAAGAAGTCTTAGCTATTCCAAGCAATTCACTGATGACTGATTGATTTGAAAATACTCTTTAGAAATTCATTTTAAGCCACTGACATTGCCATATTTTAATATCTCCTAGAAGTCAAATAAAATTGGTGCTTAAAAATACCCTTTGGCTTTTAGTGGCTTCCAGTTTCAGAAGAATTATTTGTACTTTGCCAGTAATCAAACTGATAGTCTCTTAAGTGAGTTTACTCTGGCATCATTTCTTGAACAACTAACTATATGCTGGTGAATAATTGGGCATTATATTTGTATGTCTTTGGGGTGGGGAAAGTAGCCTGAGTTCAAGTCCCAACTCAGAATTTGTGTGTGTCTTTTTTAAAGGGGGGAAGGGACTCTGGAATGTGAATTATCTTCACTTGTTAATCCTGATCATGCTTCTGACTCATGAGTGGCAGCAGTCATGGGAGCAACTTCCAGCCTTTCTCAGCAGATGTCACTGTTACTGTGTATGTTGAAATATTTGAAAAGGGAAGAAAACAAATGACTAATATAAAATTCATATTTATATTCTTAAATGTTTTCTATTTTCTTGACTAATATATGGGGGGAGGATGTTTTTCAAATTTATTCCATCTTTTCCCAAGTAATTTCTATAAATTTGAATATTCCAGCACCTTTGGATGAAGAATACATTTTGCCATGGTGTAATGATTCTGCCTTTACTTTCATTGAAGTTACATCAATAATTAATTTCTTATCCATTTAATATATAGCAACTACTAATTCAGGGAAAATTTAAAGACCTTAGTCTCTGGGTTTCTTCTTTCTTACATTTTACAGTATTTAGAAAAATGGAATTAAATAACTTTGCCCAGCATATCATCATTGAAAAAACCTCTCTTAATAAAATATAATCCAGCGATAAATGTTTCTTTTTAGATTATTCAATAGCAGCAAATATAAACTTAGTTTAAAATGAAGTTCTGTGAATGTGTCAGTCTAACTTTCCAGTGCTCATGTGTCATGTTTTGTTTTAGTTATCCATGGATCTAGCAACATTTCTTGATAATGTTTTGCAGGTTAATGAATCAAAAACTATTCTAAAGCTTTGTGATTTTGGATCGGCCTCACATGTTGCAGATAATGACATTACACCCTATCTCGTCAGTAGATTTTATCGGGCTCCTGAAATTAGTAAGTTTCTCCAAATGTCCTTTTGCTCTGGGGCCATCACATGCTGTGGAAACAGCATATTTAATTTCTAAGTACTGTTTTCCATCGTACTTCAGCAGCTGCTCGAGCTCATTCATGAGGAAGGGAACCGTAGCAAGTTCAACCTCCTCAGTTGGAATGATGGTAGTTGTGACAGGAGTCTTGATCATGTCGGGCAAGAGTAGCAAAACAATTGTGGAAAATCCTCGACTTTAGAAGACTGCTCTTGATTATTCAAGGTCTGATTATCAAATTTGTGGATTATCTGGGACCTTTGCTTTTTCTCCTCCCTCCTGTTGGCCTGTATTCTGACTTTATTGTTCATTAGCACCTCTGCCAGAGGTGGGAATGGAAAAGGAGGTGAAAACATATTTTCGCTGGGTTTTGTTTTCTTTTGTTTTTTGTTTTTTTTGTTTTGTTTTTTGTTTTTTTTAGGTTCTCTGTTAAAAAGGTTTGGTGGGAGAGAAGTTCAATCAAATTATTAAAATGAGTTTTGGGAGTTGTATGTCTTTATTTTCCCAGGCTAACCTTGATTAATATGAATGATTGAGTTGTATTTCATTATAATAATTATTATTACTATTATTACAACCACTACCTCATTGATTTTTAAACTTAATTTTATTAAAATTTCTTTCTGTTTCAGTTATAGGAAAAAGCTATGACTACGGTATAGATATGTGGTCTGTAGGCTGCACACTATATGAACTTTATACTGGAAAAATATTATTTCCTGGTAAAACCAATAATCATATGTTGAAACTTGCTATGGACCTCAAAGGAAAAATGCCAAATAAGGTAAGAAGTGAAATGTATTCTTTATTCTCTCCCACTTCCTTAAATGGTCCTCAGTAGTAATAACTTTAGCTCGTTCATGAAGAAAGACCTATGGTAGCTATAGCAAAATTTAGGTTGGACAAGTTAAGAGATTGAATCATATTTCTTTTCTGCTGCTCCCTTTTCTCTTCTCCCTTTTACCTTTGTTGTCTTTAAGTAGTAATTTTAATTAAATAGGAGAATGAGCAAGGATGAGATGGCTATTAATGCCAGAGTATCTATATATAGTTAACAGCTTATTTGTATTTATCCCCACACCTCTATTTTCTATCTGTCTACATTTTAATTGGTATATATATATCCCCTTCCTCTGGATTTCAGCTGAAAAAAAAGAACTAGCAAAGCATGTGATAGGCTGGGATCACATGTAATAAGAAGTGAAAGGACTTTGAGCCAGGGTTTGGAATGATTTGGGCACTGGGGAGAAAGAGTAGCAACAATTATATTTGGAGCTGGGTATGGTTACTAACTAATGGTAAAATACTTCAAAATTTGTTTCCTGTTTGTCTCTCCCTTTTCCTTTAAATTGTCACATGGTGATTTGTATTAATAATACAGTGAGAATGTAGAAGGGTGTCTAAAAGAAGGAATTGATGGATGTGCCTAGAAAGAAAATAAATTAATTTATTCAAGAGATGGGAATTATTTAGTTTTGAAAGATAACACCGAAAAAGTTTTGGTTAAGGAGAAATGGGAAGATGTTGCAGAGAGCCAGGTTTTGTCTTGATAGAAGGAAAAACTTCAAAACTGGAATTGGCTGACTTGCTACTTGTTATCACTAGAGGTTTTCACACAGCATCTGGATGAAAACTACTTAGTTGTCAGTGGTGTTACAGCAGGGAGTCCTCCTATTCATGTGTAGGTGGAACTTAGCTTAGATGGACTCACATTTTCTTCCAGTTCTAAGGTTCTGTGAATAAGGATGAAATGGTTGATTATGAAAATGATAACTTGATTGGAAAAGATTTAAAATGGCTGTTTCCCATTTCTTCATCCTCTGAGCTATAAACTAGTTCTAAGAGACTATCTTTATTTTTCTATTATAACAAGGATTGCTTGAAATAAATAGGCCTCTTAATGGACCTTGTATTTTTAATCTTGAAAGTAGCCTTGGTATTTGTTGCAGTGGAACTTGGCATATATCATGAGAGATGTTGGAGAACAATTTAGAAAGATTCAAAGATTTACTGGGTTTTTACATCTCTCTGGTCAGTAGACATTATAGAATATTCCTATGGTGTTCTAATATTTGAAATAATTGAATAAATGTACTGAGTAACAGTAGAAGCAGGTGCTTAAGGTTATATGTAAAGATGAATGACATGGTAACTGGCCTTAAGCACCATATAATAATATTAATATAATATAATATATATAATAATAATATAATCATAAAATATATTTTCTTTAAACAACTGGATGATAACAATAGAGAAACAGCAACCAACTTGATCTTGGGGAAACTAAGAATATGCATCGAGTTAATGGAATTTTTTTGTGTCCATTTGGTTTAGATATAGCGTTTATAATTAGTTTTTCAGAAGTCATATTAAATATTTTAGAACTAGAGATTAGAATTTAGAACCTAAGAGATTATCTAATCCAAGGACTTCTTAAACTGTGGGTTTAAACTCACAGTTTAAGAAGCGCTGATAGTCCAACCCAGCTCCTTTTACAGATGAGTGAGTAAGCTCAGAAGTAAAGTAATGGCAATCAGTGACTTGTAAAAGGTTAAAGTAGGTCTTTATCTCCTAATAGTCCAAATGTAATTTTTCTTTCAGATGATAAGAAAAGGTGTGTTCAAAGATCAACACTTTGATCAAAATCTCAACTTCATGTACATAGAAGTAGATAAAGTAACAGAAAGGGTAAGTATTTTAAATGTACTATGCTAAGCAGTAATCATTTCTAAATAATATTACTTGTATGTGAAACAGGATGCCAGGAATTATGACTAAAAGCAGCTGAAAAATTACATATCTGTCACATATGATAGTTATATTTGCATTCAGCCTGATTCCACATGAGTCATTCCTCTCTCTCTCTCTCTCTCTCACTCTCTCACACACACACACGCACACACACGCACACAGTGCTAAAACACTAGGGAGCTGTCTATGGCTTTCTAGAATAATTTTCCTTTTAACCACAGGCTATATATAGTACTTGACATACATTGTTTATTTGTTTCGCAACAAACAGCCATATGAAATTGATAATTTTGCATATTGTCCTCATTTTACAGATGAGAAAGTTGAGGCCCAGAGAGTTTAAGTAATTTGCTCATGATCCTATAGCTAGTGTCATAGGTGTACTCTAAGTTAGTTTGAGGTGTGAGGACTTTTAGTTTGCCTATCCCAGCATCACTACTTTTTGAAAGCATAATTCAACAGTCAGTAATATTTATTGTTTTTTTTTTTTACATCTTTCTGGTGAGTAGACATTATAGAATATTCCTTTTGGTGTTCTAATATTTGAAATAATTGAATAAATATGTACTGAGTGACAGTAGAACCAGGTGCTCAGGTTACATGTAAAAATGAATGACATGGTAACTGGCCTTAAATACCATACAAATCTAGTGGTTATAGAATAAACTTTTTTAAGATAAAGAATTTTTACTGTTGTACATTTAGAATATTAACTCTGCTTAATTGAGCTTTCCCATTTAAGTAGTTTTAATTCTTCATACTGCCTTTTTAAAAGAGTAAATAATAAAAAGGAGTAAACTGAAGGACGGTAGGGGGTATTTTTTAATATTTTGACTATGAAATAGTCTGCATTTCAGTGCAGAATTTTTTCAGTAATTTTGATGCAATTATAAATTTAACTGTTTTTAGGAGAAAGTTACTGTCATGAGCACCATTAATCCTACCAAGGACCTCTTGGCTGATTTGATTGGGTGCCAGCGACTTCCTGAAGACCAACGCAAAAAAGTACACCAGCTAAAGGACTTGTTGGACCAGATCTTAATGTTGGACCCAGCTAAACGAATTAGCATCAACCAGGCTCTACAGCATGCCTTCATCCAGGAAAAAATTTAAATGAGATGAAGAAGCTCAAAGGGTTTGAGTAATTAAAATACAAAGACTGAAGAAATTTCACAGCAGATTATTAATGTATATAAACTTATAAATATTTCCCCCGCAAATTGAGGAAGCATGATATATTTGAATTAACACCAAGGCTGATATTTCTTTTAGAAATGTTAGAGTAAATCTGTTTGTGTCTTATGTGAAAATTTTCACTGTAGAACTGTTTTAATTGCTGAGACTGCACACAAGTACAGTGCTAATGTAAATGGTTGCAGTTCACATCAAAAAGAAAAAAAATCTGTTATAAAATGAACAGTAATACTGGGTGGATGATTGGTTTTTTAGCAGACTTGGCTTCATTTTTGTCTTTAAAAAAAAAAAAAAAGGCCAGCATAAATGCTGTTTATATTCACGTTTTCCTAGGTGTGTGTGTGCAGGCCACAGCAGCATGCCCTTGGTGTAGTCAGTGCCGAAAGGGGTCTGTTCCTTCTTGAGCCTGCCTGCAGGGATGGTCTCCTCTTTTAAAGCAGGTTGTGTACAACTTTCAGTACACTGAAGGTAAGCTAAACCATCAACATCACTGGTGTTTTAAGATGTTATTTTACTGGAACAACTGGCAAATGAGGGACAGTAGCTTTGTGGCAGAATTCCCTGCATGTTCAATAATTGATCTTGTTTTATTTTTTGGCATCGCAACTGTGGCATAGTTACAACTTCTGTTCTGTTCATCACATTTAAAATTTGGAGAGTGCGCGCTTGATGGGTAAAGCGCCTTCAGTGTACTGTTTCCTATTACTTTAATTTTTTAAATCAACTTGCTATAGACTTTGTATACATTTTGTTAAATACAGTTCCCAATGACATAGTACCAATATTTACAGTTTTCATTTACTAATTATAAATGTTGGGGTCTAATTCTGAAAGTCCTCATTTAAAAGTTAGATAGACAACATAATGAAATTTTTAACTATTTGTATGTCATTTTGAAAGTGTACTGCTTTATGGTAAAAGTGTTTCATTTGTTCATTGTTTTCATTATTTGTGATCATGTTGTCTTTCAATACAGGCATAAACCTTCCACTCTTGAACAAAGCAGCTGCTTTTTAAAAGCGGTAATTGCTTCTTTACCTTTTATTTCTTTTGTAAATGAAGCTTTTCTTTAAGAAATGTGACTTTAAAGTGTTGTCTATTACATAAAACAGTTGACACTCACTTATTGTAAAGTGAAGATTGTTCTGCTGCATGTAAAGTGGACCATGCAGATTTCTGTATGTTTTCAGTATGCATCATTAGATAATAAAGTCTTTTGTGAACAAGGCATTTGTAGCCATTTTTAAAAGTTTTTGTCTTCACTGCTGGTAAGTCAGATAATCCATAAAAGTTGAAAGCAACCTTCCATTTTTCTATAAATCCTTTATCTAAAGGGATTAGTAAAGATGTGAATCTTGCCAAGTTCATGTGAGGCAAATAATTAGAATCCTAATTATTTTCATAAAATCCTACCAATACTGTGAGCTTTCATTGTAGTGCATTTTTTCCTGTAGGTTCTGGGGTTTAATTCAGGATATAACTAATGTTTCTGCTGTTTTCTCACTTTTCCTTTTGATGGTGCTGAAAGAGAAAAAAAGAAAGCGGGCCACAGGCCATTCAACGCCTTCTCCAGGGGGCCTGATTTGCTGAGACTCCAACTTCACCTTCTTAACAAGGTTATTTCTGACAGCATGTGTAGATAAACATTAGCAAAAAGTTAAAAGAAAATCATTTAAATCAGTTTGGCTTTTCAATACCAAGAAACAAGAACTTAGTAAAACTACCAAGTATAGTCTCCTTGTATTTGTTGAGCAATAAAAATAATTACTTGTTTACCTAACAAGTATGGAAAAAAATCACCTTTCTTAGTTTAAAATAGTTTAAGAAATAGTAAATGGGTTTTTTTTTTGTTCACTTAGGCACGTAATTACAACAAACATGCACATTTGGTGCATTCAAGGATGGAAAATCAGAACAGCAGGCATTCTGCTGGTGGGTTGTGCCCCATTAAGGACATGAAACTACAACAGGCAGGTGATGGGTGATGTAACATAATTGGAACCTACAACCTGTCTCTTCATAGTATAGTCTTTAAAAACATTTTTAATTTTTAAATTATGTCTTTTTAAGACAACCAAAAATGCAGCTTTTATATCAGGGACTACTAGCTGTAGTTCTTCCAGTGTCCTTTATTTTACATAGGTAATAACATGCTGCACATTTGAATTTTCTCATAACAATTCCCTACAGATATAATTTGATGCTTCTGCTGATTTCATAGCACCATTTTACATCATTATTTAGTAATGAAATGTGTTAACATCCACTAGAAACACTTCACCTTATACCTCAAAGCATATTAACTATTCCTTAAAAACATAAAGTTGCTTGTTTACTTGTTCTTTGTGTTGTAGGTGCAGCTCAAGGAAGATGATGACAACCAGAAGACATGAGCTAAGGTTTCTGTCCTATAAAAGATACAAAAAATACTCTCCATTTAGTTTTGTCTAATTTTTTAGTTTTCAGCATTCCGATTTAGGTTTCATGTTTTTGTATTCTTGATGATTCCTAGAATAGTACTACTATTGTGACATTCATCTGTAAGGTGTTCATGTTTGATGGTTGTGCTTTTTCTTTGTTTGGAATGAAGGAAGAGCATGAAATGGACCAGAATTGTGACCCCTAAGGTCCAGTTCTAAATCTGTGATTCTGTCATTTGAATTTTTTCATTTAAAGTCATTTACATTTTTTGCTTTTAAAAGGCAACCAGTAATGAAATTATTTGTGTAAATTACATATTTTAAAATAGTAACTTAAAAATTATTTTCTAAGAATTATTGGGGGGAGGGAAGGGAGAATCACTTACCAGAATCTATCTTTTCTTCGACTAGTCATCTTCAATCTTAACTTTTGTTAAATAGTTAAGCTAAGTGCAATGGAGATTAGCAGACCAGGAGACTTTCCCTCCTAGTAATACTTTATCTTTAATAGTCTTATTTTAAGAAAGCAGTCTATTAATGATCTTGAAATTTTCACACAGACAGGACTTTCAAGGGTTAATGTTTCTGTTCCTTCACAACTATAAATTCTAAATGGATAAGTAGTACTAGGTGTGAAGAACTTGGAGACAATGGACATCTTAAGCTTTTTTTATTTCCCTCAGGTCCCGAACTTAGTGATCACAGAGGGATTTAAATTAATAAAAATACTGAAGCCTCCATTTATGAAGATGTTGTCCATTTCAAGCTCCTGCCAATCCCTGTAGTTAGGCTTATTTTACATCTTCAATTATAGCTATGCTGACTTCCCAGTATCCTAATGATCCATTTTTCAGGCTAATTTTAAAAATCCCAGATTTTAGAAAATGATGTAATATATATCATCTAGCATGTTCTTTACAGTTAAATAGAGTTCAGGTTCTTGATGATTTCAGTAAATGGTCTTTGAACCTGGGGCAGTTTTATAGTACTGACAAATTAACCTGTTGAAATGTCATGTAGAAGACATAAAATTTGTTCTATTTCATTCCAACATTTGCTTTCCCCATACTCTGCTTTACTTGTACTTTATTTTCAGAGTACTTGATCAGAAGCACTGTGGCTGTGTAGACTAACAATGAAATTTCTGTCATAAAAAGAATCTTTTGCATAATACAAATTTAGGACAAGAAATATACTGTCCTTTTCATTGTTGGTGAAGAGATAAAACTGCTTCCTTTTTGAGGCATATCATATGAAATTAGAGATGTGTGAAGTACTACATTATACCAAGTGCCTAACCATACTCTCCACCTGCCAAAGGCATGATTTTTAAACTTTTACTTCTCCTGGATGGAATGTACTATTTTATTGGAATAATCACCAAGTTCATTTGTGTTTACTGTGTCATAATGTATTCTTAAGTTGATTTATAAGTACTCTGCAGTCATTTTTGTAGGTGAAATAGCATGCTATCCCTTTCTTAATCTCTCTTTTCCCTCCATGTATAGGGTAAGTGACTATTCTTCAGAAGAACCTTTTGCATTTAAATGATCAAGATATGGGAGCCTGTTCTCTGGAATGTTGAAGATACATCCTAACCATTTCATGACATATTGAACTGGAATAAGCATTAAGGAGCACATTTTCTTGACTTAGTTATTGGTCACTTAATGAAATGTGCCTCTTTTACTCTATAGTCTTTTTTCTCCTTCATTTTAGTTTGGTATTCTGTATGCCTTTACTTTAGAAGGATGATCTTCAAAAATAACATTTCCAAACTGGCAAGACATTGTCTTAAGTATTTGTTCTATGTTTTATTCCTTTAGATAATGCTATTAAAATACTTGATTGTTTCCCACAGTAGCAAAAACATATGCTGTAACTTTAAAATTATTACTTAATAAAATATTTAGGTGTTCAAATATTGCTGTTTAGCTTTTAGTGTCCCAAAATAGCTTGCAAAGATATACTAATTTTTTTTATAGACCCAAATCAAATCATTACAATTTTTTTAGCACAGTGGAAGATACAGTATAAATCTCAAATACAAAAGTAATGCACATTTCTTCCACTAAAGGATACTAATTTGGCAAGAGAAAGAAGATTGATTTCAGCACGCTTTTGCTTTTAACTCTATTGCTAACTTTGATCTTGAGGTTGATGTGTTTATTTTCCTGACTGGTCTTAAATACTAGGAGTGCCAGGGAAAATATTAATAATTATTCCTTTAGAAATTAGAAATGGACAGTTTACAGCCATGCTTGCTCAAAAAGCCCGTTATATGAAAGTTTGGGGATTGAAAAGGAACTTAATCTATGGTTTATTTACTACCTTCCACCCCAAGACTATAATGAACAAATTTCTCATAAAGTTTTTCAGAATTTTATGTACTTCAACTACAGTTAGAATTCACTACCTCTTAATTTAGAATTATTTGTTGTTTTCCAAATATTATATTGTAGTGGGCTACTGTAAAACTGTATCATGGTTATATAAAATTTGCCATGTTACTAACGTACTGTATCACTTGCCATAAATATTTTGAGGCATTTAATCTTGTATATTTTACAGCCTATAAGTTTTAAAATTAAGGTCCTCTGCTTCAGAAGGATGTATTTCATATCTGTAGTCTTGTTTGCATGCCACTGAAATGAATGAAAAAAAGCAGCTGCTTACATACAGTAACATGTAAGGCAAGTAGTGTAGGATATCAGATGGGAATGGAGACAGGTAAAATATTTCCAAGTTTTATAAGGATACTTATGAAGACCCACTAATTGGAGCCTCCCAAGGCTCTATTTAGTCTTGTTTTGAAATAGATTATCCAATCTTTATTTTCTAGATTTGGATTCATCTATTGTTTTTTCTTGGGTCATTGTGCTTATTTACTCTATAGCTAATCAGGTGACGGGCCTATGGGAGCACAATGTAAAAGCATTTTATATATATACTGTACTTGTATTAGAAAGAACTAGCTTTCAAGCAAGAATAATTTCAATTTTTTGGTCATTTAGCAAAATTTTGTATTTGTAAGGAAGAGTATTAACAAGAAAGTATAACTGAACTTTTTAAAATTTGAAGGACATGAAATGTATGTTCTTTGGAACCAAATAGTACAAATTTGATATTTCTGCTTATATCAGTTTGAATTGTATAACATGGTAAGAGTTTATGGATCCAACTCTAAATAAATATGCTTCTCCCTGAATATGCAGTTTGTTTGTTTTTAAGGGGTGTGGTTGATGATGGCGGGGGGTGGGGTGGGGGTGGGGGGGTTGTTTTTTGAGATTGAATCAAATGGGCTGAAGTTATTGCTCTTAAGTTTCAAAATCCTTTTTACCCTTTTCCATTGTTGACTTCTAATTATGCAGAGTGGGGTTGGATCTGTAGGGAAGGGAACTGAATGTAAAATAATTTCAGAATTTTAAATAGAATCATCACCTAAGCAGTTATTTGAAGTTTCCTTTCCATAGAGATCTCTTAAAGTGTCCTGCAGCATAGGACAACAGGCATCTATTTATGAGGAGGATATCAATTAGACATCAAGTGCTTATTTGTGTTAAGTACTGGGGATACAAAGATAAAACATCAGTCCCACTCTCCAAGGAGTTTATACTCTGAAAAGAAATTGACATCCACACTACAAATAATGCAGGGAGGAGTGTCTGAGAAGACTTTTAAAGTTGGGCTTTGATGGAAAACTGAAGAGAATTCAATGGCCATATCAGGGGTATTATGAGTCCTACTTAATGTGTATATTGTTTACATGAATCTAAACTATTACCATCTAGGAAACTTACATCTTTCAGAGAAATGTCAGAATATAACTTGCCCAACACATAGTCAACAAGCATTTATTAAGCAGCTAGGTAGCAACTAAGTAGTGCTGTGCCTACTTAGGAAGTCAGGAAGACTTCAGTTATATTCTGTCCTCAAACATAACTGTGAATATTTGTAAAGCGCTCTGCAAACATTAAAGGGCTAAATAAAATTGCTAACAGGGCCCATTCTCATTCTGATTGCCACAGAAGTTCTGACCTACTCCTTTCACCTGGGCCAGTTTGTCCCTCCCGAGGCAACCTAGTGAGCTCTGTTCCTGGGGACTTGCCATTACTAATACCTCACTTGGTGTGGACACCCAATCAATGATTGGATTAAGCCCTATAGAATCTCATACCTCGAGATCTGCCAGCCTCCACCTCCTTGGTAACAGGGTAATCCCTGGCATATGCATCATGCCCTGCTGGATGGCTACATGTAAATAAAGGAGAGTAGCATGTGGTAGTGCAGCCCAGAAGATTTGGGTTCCTAGTTCAGCTGATATTAGCTGTGATAGCAGTCCTATACCCTCAGCCCCAGGCAACTCTAAGACTTAAGTGAATTGCTAATGTGCTTTAGTTGAGGGATTTCACAGTCATGAAATTATAGGTCAAGACAAGACTACCTAAAATCCTACTCCAAAGTCTCATTGTGTCATGAAAGTAACTGGTTTCTTGAAGGCTCTGACAGGCCCAATTGGAAAGGCTAAATGGACCTAGATCACTGGCAGTGCCTAGACCTTGGGGTTAACAAAGGTTCATTATCAGTGTTGGCCAGAGCGACTTAATAAACAGTCCAATAAGGTATGTAGAGGGGCTACAGTGTGTGCTGTTGGGAGAGGTATCAGCATATCAGTTACATTTTAGAATGCAAAATAGGTTATGAAAATCATAACTTTGCCTCTATAGTAAAAATCATTTATTTTATACCTTTGGCTTTTGAAAATGTTTCATTGCAAAATATTTTGTTAGAAAATTTTTCCCTTCTCTCCCTATGTATGAAATACAGAAATTCCCATGTTTGAAGTCTTTATCCAAACTTCATCCAAAATTACTATAAAGTATTAACACATTACATTAGGAAATCTACTTCAAGAAAATTTCAGAAAGATTTTATTCTTTTAATTACAAAATCTCATTCAGTGCAGTTATCTCTTGTATTGCATTGCCTAATGGTACCTATATTCCTTATAGTCAAGACAAGGTAAGTTTTTCAAATTAAAATCGCTTAAGGCAATTTTGAAAGTCAATTGCTAAATTTTATAAATTATTTTAGTAATTTTGCTTAAGTGGGCATGATATTCCAAATGAAGGAGATATAAAAGCTAATAACTATCATCACTGATTACAAGGATAAGGACTTTGTCAGTGCTGCATTTTACGACTGGAAAAGACCCTTTGAGGCCTTCCAGTCTGACCTCTTTTATATGGCAAGAAGGCCTGCTACATCATCCCTCCTGCATCAAGGATGGCCATTCAATCTCATATTATGTACTTTTTTTGATAAAGATAATACCTTTGGAGGCATTTTTGTATAATTATGAACAGCATTCTATCTTACATTGTTCCAAAATCTGTCTCCTTATAACTTTGTACCCTTTGGGTCTTAGTTTTTAAGTTTAGAACAACCTAGGACAAATTTGCTCTCCTCTATATGATAGTTTCAAGTATTGAAAAAAGTTGAAGTCTAACTGCTGAGGTTTAACATGTAAATTCATATATGATCTGGTGGACTGATGTTTTATGTGCAGCAAAATAAACATCAGAAATAACCAGTCTGTAGGTTGGGGGTAGGAGGAATAGAATTCAATTCAACATTGCTTGAGCACCACGTATGTGCAAGACACTGCCAAGTACTATGGGAGATAAAAAATGAAATAAGACATGGTCAGGTATATTATTGAGGAAAAGTAGGATGGAGTGCCAGAACAAGGATGAAAACGTATGGAAATGAAGATGACTGGATAATGAATGTAAGTGAGGTTTGCCTGGGTGGAGAGGAAAGCAGAGATGGATGACCAGGTTATGAATAGAAACTGAAGGAATACAATGTCCCTTACAACTGACACATTAGATCCCTTGTCCATTGACAAAAGGAACTGACAGTGCTTTTTGCACTGAAGGGAGAGAGGAAAAGGGGTGCTATGCTATAGCTGGCCTTTCTGCAGTTCTTTTTTTCCTGATGACATCATGCAGTAGTCACCTTTCAACTCCCCTCACCTTTCCTTTTTTGAAATATTACAACCACTTGAACTTTCTAGCTGTCCATCAAAACCAAAGCATATAGGAGATAAAAAGATGTCCAAAAAGCATGGATGAATGCATAATGACTCGAATTTTCCCCATTAGGTTCTCTTTTTTTTCTACCCATTAATTCACTAATTTATTACAGAAAAGAGCATTAGATGTTCCATCCTTAGTTTCTATAGCATGGGAATATATTTCCAGCAACGTTAAGAACAACGTATATCATCTGAACAATCCTCATACTATAGTGGGTGCAAAGTTGTAGATAAAGGAGGACTGGTGTCTTTATTTGATTTGTTAAAAGTGGAATTTGGCTTAGCACATTTTGCTCTACACTTGACATTTTCAAACCAGTACATTACCATTTGAACCAGTGTATGCATATACTGAGTTTCATTTGTGTAGGAAAATGACCAGTATTACATTGTTATTTCATGCTTCTATCTTCTCTATAGAAGCAGTCAGGAGTAATGGAAATCCTGCCTCTGAGAATTAACTAGCTGTGTGACGCTAGGCAAATCACTCAACTTCTATGTCCTTCAGTCAACTCTATAGGACTTACCTACAAAGTTATTGAACAGCATTGGTGGAAGAATGAAAGTGGATAATTTCCCACAATGACTAAGTCACAGATAGTTTCTTATTCCTAATGTCTCTATAAAACAAGTGAACCTAATCTCAGATCTTTTTGATTCATCATCTAGCATCCTTTTTTAAAAATACCTGACAAGGCATGGGGAAATAGTTTTCAAAGGGTCTAAGAAGTAGAGGCATTATTAATTTATCCCATGAGTTGGTAACCTCTTTAGCTGTAAGTGCTAATATGAATCACCTGAACTCCATTAATGCATGGACAAAAGAAATTTATGGGAGAATGGAGGATCAAAAGGAGTAAGCAGGTAATTGGAATAAGGAAGGAGAGAAAAAGAAAGATGCAGTCAAGGGGAATGGTAGAGTGCCACCAAAAACTGCAATTATAACACCAGTATATATTGCATATAATACTCTTTTTCAATTATAAAGCAAATGAGTATTCCAATGAAATTAAATACTACAGAATTAAAGTCAATTATCCAATTTATTGATGTTTGATGTAATTACATTAGAAAACAGTCACAGCAAAAGGACAGTCTTTAGAATTTGGTTTACTCAGTGAAAATGTTTCTTGGTGAGGAAACACAAAAGGTTTATCAAATCTGTCATCATCATAAAAACTCCCAGATTTATATGAAGTACAAAGTAGGAATTTTCACAAGATTTATTTCACATCACTTCAAATAATCTTTGGGGTTTTTTGTTTTGTTTTGAAATACCTGTAACTGGGAGTGATAAATCAGATTTCAACTGGTTTAGTGGGCTAGATTTAGTCCCAATGAGAATTAAGACAGAAAAAAAAAATGGTTATTTTTGGTCAATGTGTGAGCACTTCTCACATTTAGCTGTAAATGAAGGAGATAAACATTGCCTTTTCTGAACATGGAGTGGTCTATTTACAGCTATATTTTTCTGATAAAGTTTCTTTTTGCTTCTTGATGGTTTGCTTTCTTGTGGTTCGGGCAAACAAAGAGATACGGATGATATAGGTATTGAAGACTTTGGCTGAAGACATCTTGTTGAAACCATTTTAACCAATGGATGAGTTGTTTGAGCAATGGAGTGACTTGAAGTAGGTCTGGATGAAACTTCTTGGCATGAATTTAAAGAGGAACTTTTGGAAATTTTAAAGTCATCATAAGTAGCAATGATTTGTTTTGTGGCAGAAGAGCTTCTGATAGATGGTGGTCTGGAATTCCTCTTATTTTTACCAGCATTGTTCCAACTGCATTTTGAAGTATTCTGCTCAAGTTTGCAAGAATTAGAGTTGCTTTTTGTTTTTTCTCTACTTTTATCTACACATACTGTCTGAAGGGGCAGAGATTCAGGATATCTTGATGGCTTCTGTTTGGATGAGCCTTTGGATGAACTGGGCCGTTCAGTAATGACTTGAGTAGAGCAGCTGATTGGTATCTTTGGCCTCTCCTTTTGTATAGTCAGATGTTGTATTCTTTCCATCTCCAATAAACGACCTATCAACTGCTCAATGGAGCTTTCCATAGGATCTAATGCCACTTTCCAATTTTCAGATTTTGAGAAGGCCAGTTTGTGCAAGTCTAGAGTATTAAAAGGTGGAGGGAGAAAATCAGGATATGAAAATACTTCACTTGACTGTTCCAAGAAAGATTCTTCAAAGTCTTCTATTACTTCTGGCTTTAAGTTCAGGTCCATTTTTTTAAAGTAAGTGAGTAATGTATCATTTACTTTTTCATTTTCTGATAAATCACTTTCATCAGTAAGATTTTCTTCCTTGCTGCTGTTCCCATATTTTGTATTCCAATTTGAAGCAGATAAAATTTCACCATTGTTGCTTTCTATAGCTGAATAAGAGTTACTCTGAGGCTCACTTCTATCTTTACAAAAGTCTCCATCAGCATAAGGCCAGCAGAGACTTAATGGCATCTGTTGTCGCAATCCAGGGTAAGAACCAGTTTGTTTGTCAACTGAAGCACCTGTTAGTGAGTGGTTCAGAGTGAAGAGCCTTAGAGGATTATTATTTACATTAAAGCCAGTTTCCGTTGAAGATTTCTGGAAATCCCTTTAAAAAAATTAATGTTAGATTTATTTACTAGAGTTAGAATGTTTTAGAAATGAACACAATAATATGGATAAGTAACCAAAGTTAAAGACTGACAAATATCAATTCTGGATGTTGCATAGACACAGAACTCTATATACAGAGAAATGTTAACTTTCAGAATACTTAATAATTGTCTGTGAACTAAATAACCAAGTACTATTACAGCCAAATTTTATTTAAAGGCCAGGATTCTATTATTTTGCATAAACGTGCAAAGTAAAATTATTTTCTATTATAAATAAACCTGATATTCAAGGCATGATAAATTATTTTTAAATTAATAAATTTAAGTTCATCCTAGATTAGGACAGATTAGAGATACCAAAAGTCTATATACCCTAAAGCACCATAACCAGACCTACCACCCTATCTATTGTTTGCACATAATAATAATAGCTCACATTTATATAGTGCTCCAAGATTTATAAATCCCAAGAGGTAGGGGATATAACTATTATCCCTATTTTCCAAATGAGGACACTAAACCTCAGAAATGGCTTGCCCAGCTTCACACAGCTACTAAGTGTCATAGTTGGAACTAAAAATCCCAGGTTTTCTGATTCTAAAACCAGTATTTTTTTCCCAACACCAAGCCACCTTTATAAATTGCTATATAAATGTCAGCTATTTTTTATTAGAAGGGGTAATATCACATTTCATATCTAATCCAAATTCCTGTCTGATCATAAAGGCCCCTATAGCCATTCCCCTGTGCCCCCAAACTCCCCAATTTCATCAACTTAATTTTTTGTTGTTTACTGACACACATGTCCATTACAGCCATTGACATTTGCTGGTTGCCCTAGAATCACAGAATGTTAAGAGCTTGGAAGATATATCAGAAGTCATATAGTATACTCTCTAATAGCTAATACAGGAATCCCCTACATAATAACCCTGGTAAGTGATCAGCTAACTTGGGCTTAAAGATTTCCTCCCAAAGCAGCCCATTCAACTTTTAGATAGCTCTGGTTGTAAGCAAGATTTTCCATACATTGAGCAGAAACTTGCCTCTCTAACTTTCACCTACTGATTCTTGTTCTGCATTCCAGGGATGCATAATACAAGTCTTTCTAATACCTGAATCTTTTCACTAGGTTTAACATTCCCAGTACTTTCAAACGACATCCATATGACATGGTTTTGAATATATCCTCACCTTGGTCACTCTTCTTTAATGTCCTTGGGAGAGTCCTCCCAAAATGTGACAGCCAGAATGAAACTCCAAAGATATGGCCTGACCAGGGCTATAATCCTCTCTGGAGCATGGTAGAGCTTTGCATCTGGTCCTTTGCACAAGCTATTATTTCTCTCAGCAGAATGCAGAATTCCCTCTTTTTACCTGTTGAGTCTCCATCATTCAAAATCTAGCTCAAGTAGAAGGTATTCCCTAACTAATTTTGTCTTATTTCAATCACTTTTAAATGCTGCATATGCTCACCCCTAAAGTACAATTGATTACGTACACCTTACTATATCAAGATAGAATATGATGCTTCTAAAGTATTTTAAGACTTTCCTCTGTGCATGCACTTTTATGTATTTGCACATACACACACCCCTCCCTATGCACTTAATTCCCACTTCAGTTTTAATATCTAAATCACATTATTTAGAGCTGGAAAGCACTTCAGTGAGCCTAAGCAGCATGGAATAAAGGAAATAGTACTGGACTTGAAATCAAAATAGGTTCATTCAAGTCCTAACTCTGACATTTACTAGCTACATGATCATGAGAAGGTCACTTAACTTCTCCAAGCCTCAATTCCCTCATCGGTGAAATGTGAATAATTCCTATACTATCTACTCCACAGAGCTGTTATGACTAAAGTGTTTAAGTATGAACTATTATTATTTAGTCCAACCCTCTCACATACAGATGAGGAAAGGAAGTTATAGGTTACTCAACCAAAGTTATACAGCATGTTAATCCCAGAGACAAAACTACAACCCAGATCAGGGATTTTTTAAATATACTAACCTACATTTATGTAGGTTATCTGCTTTACTAATCCCAGAAAAAGTATAAGCGTAGGTTTTAGAAAACATCAAGAAGAGAGGAACTAAAGTAATGTATCATATAATCATAATTAAGAAAAATAGGGTATAGCATTCAAAAAATTTCTTGGTAAAAATGGCATTATGTCACTACTGCCAACTAAAAGTAGAGGCTTCAGAAAGGCAGATGCAGGAAATGAAAAGCTTCTTGAGAAAACTAGATGAGAATAGGATACAGAGTTCTGGAAAATGACTGAAAATATTTAAAATGACTTAAAACAGGTCAACAAACACTGATGAAATACATATTTTCCCTTTATTTGAATGGCTTTAAACTGGAAAAAGCAGTGAGGAGCCAGAAAACAGCAAATACAATACTGGAATAGAATATTAGAGAAGCCCAATATTCAAAAGAATCTATATCCAAGAAAAGAACTGACAATGAAACCCATAGCCTTAGCTATTTATAAGTGAATGCAAAAAATATGAGTAATGAACAGGGTGAACTAGAAACCCTGATGGAGACAAATTCAAACATACATATGCTACCCTTAAGACTGAATGGGATTAGACTTATTATTGTAATATGACTATGGAAGATAATAAATTCTTCTGTAGTCATATATCTAGACCTTACTACAATGTTTTGCACACTGTGGGCACCAATGAATTGAATATCTAATTCAAAAGGAATAAAACAAAAGGGACCATAAACTAGCACTGTATAAGAAAACAAATGCAAGTGAGGAAATCCAGGAACTAGAGAAAAGAGGGAAAAATGGAAAAAAGAGATAAGGTGGAAAGATCAAGAGAGAGAGAAACAGAAATAATACTGTTGTGGTAGTATATTACAGATTCCTTGGGAAAGAAGGAAACAGACAAGGAATTCAGGAAACATCATAAACCTGATACTAACCTGGCATATTTTAGTGAAGGAAAACTTTAATGAATTGTACATCTGCTAGAGCAATCACTTCACAAAAACAGAAACTTAATGGTAATTTAATTCTTCAAAACGTAGAGGAAGGAATAAAAGAAGTTACAATGCTGAATCTGAATCTGACCAATAAGGAAGAACTGATTACTGATATCAAAATTATGGCAACTTTCAAAGGGAGTTGACCACTTCATCTTAGAAACTCTGATGGAAGAGAAGAAAGTTAGACATAGTCTGACATGCACTATAGATTTATGGAAGAGCAGATTTCAAACAGTTCAGAGAAAAGATAGGTAAGTTCCTTTAGTCTAATATTACATCAGTCCAAGGATGAGAAACTCAAGAATTAAATGTTTATGAAACAAATGATTCTGAGGGAAAAAGGGACAACTGTCTAAAAAAACAAATGTACGTAGATAAAAAGTTCAGCAATTAGCTTTTTTTGGGGGGCGGGCTAGGCAACTGGGGTTAAGTGACTTGCCCAGGGTCACACAGCTAGTACATGTTGTGTGTCTGAGACCAGATTTGAACTCAGGTCCTCTTGACTTCAAGACTGGAGCTCTATCCACTTCGCCACCTAGCTGCCCCAATCAGCTAAAATTTTAAAAAGACATAGAGGTAGCGGGGGCAGGTAAAGAAATCTGAATACAAAATATGGCAAGGCCCCATAAGAATAGTATCTGGAGTACCAAGTCGCAGAATAAATTGAGGCTGGTGAGGAAGACTAAGACCAATAAAAAAGTTCTAAAAGTTATGTTAGAGACTAAAGGAAGATCAAAGAAAAGCTAGGACTGCAAATGAGTGGGTGGGTCAATGACAGACAGTGGTGAGAGAACACTCTTATTTTCACTACCAAAGAAAAAGAATAAAAATGGTTAACAGGAAGTTGAAACCCCAAGATAAGTGAGACGATAAGAGTGCATCTAGCCACCTTCAATGACTTCAAGTCACCAGGCCCCAGTGAACTAAAATATAATATTGAAAGACCTGGCAGATATGGTTGCTGAGTCACTGTCAATGACCTTTGTTTCCAATATGGCTTTATAGCATATCACAGATTTAAAACTGGAAAAAAATCTCAAAGGCCATTTAGTCTAATCCTCTCATTTTATAGATAAGGAATTAAGGCACAGAGAAGTTAAGTGATTTGCTCATGATCACAGTGGAAGAAGCAGTATTTGCACCCAAATCTGTTGACTCAAAATCCAGCATTCTTTATGCCACACCACACAGCCTGTACTTTCTAGCAATGATCTCTGAAATACTGTGAAAACTCTATTTTGTAGAGGTGGAGTACGACTTGTGTGGAATATTGAAAATACTGTCAGAAATCACAGTCTATGTTTTCTCATCATTTAAAAATTCACAATTCAGAATGATTAAAACAAAACAGAAGCAGTCTTCACATAGTATTTAGATAATTAGTCCCTATGTATTCTTTCCTAGCTTGAAAAATCATGAAAGTCTTGCTTTTTAAACATGTGAGCTGAAAGAACCAATCTACAAAAGCCCACTGAGATTCAATTTTGCTAAAATCTAGCTCTTAGAAGAATGCTTGACACGTAGTAAACATTTAATAAATGTTTATTGATTGAACAATTGACTAAAATAGAACAGCAAAGTACTGAGATGTCCTTCCTTGTCAAGCTTGACTCTGTGATATCTAAGAATAAGAACCATCCACATTACTCTTCAATGACTGAGCTGTCCCAGTCAAATAGTGATTGTTGCATCTAAAATTTTAAATTGTAAGCCATCACTAAGAAGTATTTGCATCATGGTTTATGAATATGAACAAATTTTCATGGAAGAAAATTAACTGATGTATTGACTGGTTTTGCTGAACTGCTTTTTAAAAAATCATAATAGAGAGGATTCTGGGAAGATGGCGGAGTAGGTCAGAAAATTTCAAGCTCTCAAGATTTTCCTCCACAAAAGAGATAAAATAGCCTCTGGATGAACACAGAGCCATAAAAACAAATAAAAGTAGAACAGGAGTCCTCACAGTACAATTGCAGAAGGT